TGAAATATCAACTACAAAATACTACTGAGAGTCTTAGATTATCTGTGGGTTGATCAAAATGTTAACCACTGGAAAAGTTATTATTTGCAAGCATGATTTCTCAGAGGGAAATTTTCAGTCCGAAAAGTGAGGTCATTTTCATGTGAATTTTCTGGAAGGGAAGTGTTTCTACTTAAAATGTAAAATCACTGAACCTCATATTTCTATGGACCTGAAGACACTCTACGATAGATGGTATACAGTTGAAAATTTTATTTTTAATATTTATGCTATGAGAGAAAAATTCAATTCAAAGATCAACGTAGTCAAAGAGTAGACAGCTGTAAGTACAACTTCGTACACTGCACGTTTTTGTAATAAACAATAAGGAAAAATGTAATGAGCCACAACTGAAATAATTCCATGATGCTTTTTACATTTACTATGACTATTGTTTATAATACATCATTTATAAATATGTCAATTCTCAAATTTCACACGTCTGTAGAATGTGCAGAAGATAAATTAACCTAAAATAATTTCTTTTACTACATTTTCTCTTAGTTAAATAAATATACTTGTCAATCTACAGACTGAAGTTTTAAATTTTATCACAAAAAATTTTGTTGATGCAGATGAATTTTTTCCTTGCCATGGGATGTTGCATAATTTATCATTTCCATGTTGGGGAGTAATAATAGCAGACGCATGTTGGGGAGTAATGATAGCAGACGCATGTTGGGGAGTAATGAAAGCAGACGCATGTTGGGGAGTAATGAAAGCAGATGCATGTTACGATACATATCATGATGTGGGTTAATGGGATAAAAATTAACATTTAATCTTCAAAGTTTCTATATATATTAATTCATAACTTTATAACTGTGATATTTGGTAATATAGTTGATAGAAGTGGTTAGTGTCCACTGTCTTATTAAAAGTTTCTATATATATTAATTTATAACTTTATAACTATGATATTTGGTAATATAGTTGATAGAAGTGGTTAGTGTCCACTGTCTTATTAAAAGTTTCTATATATATTAATTTATAACTTTATAACTATGATATTTGGTATTATAGTTGATAGAAGTGGTTAGTG